ACAATTGATGTGTGTATGGATTGGGATAACAGTTGTATGAGCCCCTAATAAAATGTTTAAAAAAAAGATCAGTGTCAGAAATAAGCTCTTCTATAGAAAAATATTCTATTTTATAAACCTAGAGTTGGAGTATGTTTTAAACAATAATTAGTAATTTAAAAAAATTCAATCATTACACGTTTGATTATCGTAATTCTAGGAAAAGTTTTTTTTTCTGTATAAAAATTTATTTGGGAAAGTTTACAACCACTCAATGACGACCAAAGAGTATAGCCTCCAGTAATCTAGGTTACAATTTAACATTAAAAAAAATTAAAATCTCTATAATGAGACATATGCAGCATCATGGTAAATGGATAAAAGATTGAAGTTTTCAAGTATCTTATTTTACTAGGCTCCTCACTCGTGGAAGCAGCAGTCAAGAAATCAAACTATGTACTGCACTAGGCAAATCAGCTGTAAAAGACCTCTTTGAGGACTACAGTTTACCAGCTCCAAGTGATGGTATTTCCAATCACCCCTGTGCATGTTTGAAAGCTGGCTAGGTGAATAAAGAAGACAAGCAGCATTTACATGCAGCATTGATGCATGTAAAACATGATGTTGGTGAAGATTACTGGATATACTACAGATTGCCAGAAGAACAAGCAAGGCTGTGTTGGAAGAAATGCAGCCAAACGTGCTCCTTAGAAGTATGGATGGCAAGACTTTGTCTCAATTACTTTGGGCATGGTTTCAAAAGGGATTTTCCTTAGAGAAGGCTTTTGTGTTTGGGCAAAGTAGGGGGCCAGTGAAGAGAGAAAGACCCTCAATCAGATAGAGGGACACAGTGGCTGCAACAATGAACTTGAACACAACAACAACACCGATGAGGATGGTGTAAGACTTGGTAGTGTTTGGGTCTGTTGTACATACGGTGCCTATGAGTTGGAACCAGTTTGCACCTAACAATAATGATCGCACATTGAAGAATTTATTTTTTTCATATTAGTAAGTTATTTTATCTATTTTTAAAATAGCCTTTAGTAGTTTTTCCTGATTAGTCTAATAAATATTGGATAATGATTATGGAAACTTAGAAAATACCCATGATTTCATCACTTAAAAATAGTAATATTCTGAGCATATCTGAATCGTTCATTTGTTTCTTGCTAAAGTTCTATCACGTCTCAAAGAAAAAGACTCTGACTAACTTGAAATAAAGTAGAAAGACTTATTGAAAGCATCAGAACATTCAAAGGGGAATCATAAACTTTCATCCAACATGTGGTGATGATGCCATGAGGCAACTCTTTTATGAGGTTAGAGATAGGTTGGATTCAGTAGTGAAAATGAAAGAATCTTCTGACTGGCTAGGTAATGGAAGTTCTTGTGATTGGCTATTTTTGGTAAAATGTCAAGAACAAACC